ACTGCAAAGGAAGCGGAATGAGATATGACCTAATGACGCTCCCGTGGGACGGCAGCTGGGGGCTTAGGCACAGCATGGCATGGGGCGGAGGGGCTCCATGGCTCCGCCCCCATGGCTGTGGTCCCGCCCCCATTTGGAATGTAGGTGAGACAAGGACCCCTCCCATCTGTGCTCCTTGGCTCCACCCCCAGGGCTGTGGCCCCGCCCTGGCACTGGCTACTCACCAAGGATGGCCACATAGGTGGTGGGGGATATGGCCAGGTAAGCACGTCCTATGTCGGAGACCCACTTCATGCAGGTGTAATTGCCCCCGTGAGACAAGGTTGCCCCTTCAATCTGCTGAGAGGGGCCCCCGTGCAGGTCCTCGTAGTTGTGAATCCAGAAGTAGACCTGGTCCAGCGACCCGCTGTCCCCCACACATCTCAGCGTGAATGAGTCGCCCTCCCTGATCGGGCCTGGGCCGTCCATGTCCACCAGGACCTTCAGGCGGGGGGGCCGGCCTGAAAAGGCCATTGGAGATGGGTCAGACCCAGCGCCCCCTAGAGGGGAAAAGCCCTGTGCCCCATTCCTTGCCCCTCTGAGCCAGCCAGTCCTGCACCCTGGGGCCGGATGGGAGTGGCGCCCCCTAGAGGGGAAAGGTCCCATATCCCATTCCCCACCCCTAGCACCAGCCAGACCCCTGCCCTCAGACCTGATTAGAGTCAGTGCCTGCTAGAGGGGAAAGGCCCCCTGACCCATTCCCTGCCCCCCAGCCAGCCCCTGCCCTGGGTCCTGATGGGAGCTGCCACCCCCTAGAAAGGAAAGGCCCCATACATAATGCAACTCACCTGTGGCTGGGGACTGGGACAATTTGGAGAGGCACCTATTCCGGTAGCCCTGCACCCGGCACTCCAGCGCCGCCCCCCGGTGCTGCCAGATGATGCGCATGCTCAGCCTATTGCTTTTGCCAGCTTCAGTTTCCTCCAGGATCCGCGCGCCGGCTCCGTCGTACTAATGTAGGCCGGAGGAGGCGCAGCTCTCGGAGATGGAGCAGATCAAGTTGCCGTTCAGGAGACTGGAGGTCCTGGTCATGCCAGAATTGACCCTGCAGGGATGTTCTGTGTAGGGTGTGTGAGGGGAGAGCCAGTCACTGCTGGGGGCACGGCCATGGGCACAGCCACCTCCAGTCACCAGCCACTGCCCCTTCTTTGAGAGCGGCCTCAAGACCAGGTGGGGGTGTGACCTGTACCAGGTTCCCCTCCCAGAGCTGGGAGAGAACCCAGGAGTCTTGACTCCTAGCACCCCTGGCTGTGACCACTAGATCCCACTCCCCTCCCAGAGCTGGGAGAGGACCCAGGAGTCCTGACTCCAGTTTAGGCTTCCTCTAACCACCAGACTCCGCTGTTTCTTCACAGCTCTGCAGAATGTGGTCGTTTGATTTGAGTGAACTGTTATGAGAGGTTTTCAGCAACCATCCTTCGGGATGGCTCGATGGGCGCTGAGGTGCAGCCACCTCTGGGGCAGGGCATCTGGGGAGCAGCCACACATAACGCCGTGCGGGGCCAGGCTGGGTTGTTGGTGAACCGTTTCTGCAAGAGGAGCCGGGGATTACCTGACACCGTGAGGCACACGGCTCGGGGGCTTCTCCAGCTTTGGCTCTGGGTCTGGAACTCAAAGGAGTAGGCGCCCCCGTCGCCGAGCGCCAGTGGGTTGAGGCGCAGGGTGCAGTCGTGATGCAGGTCACCCAGGAACTGGGTGCGCTCGGCCTTGTCATAGCCCTGCCCCGCTGCTGCGGTGAGCTGCACAATTCTCTCCTTGTACCGGCTCCCGGTCACGGCTCTGACGAGCTGCCCCTCGGGGTAGGTGTAAGAGCAAGGGATCGTCACGCATGAGCCGCTCCATCCGGTCAGGGGGCCCACGGGCAGGGTCATCCCCCAGTCCTGGCAGCCGGCACCTGGAGGGGAAGCAGCACCCTGCTATCTGCAACACCATGCTCCCTAGTCCTGCCCTGGGGCATCGGGGCCAGTCCTGATTGCCAGAGGAGAGCCCCCACCTCGCTGTCTGCAGCACAGCGCCCCCCTAGAGGTTGCAACTGAACCCCAGACGTTCCAGATGCCCCCTGCTGGATTCCAAGCATTGGCAGGTGGAGCCATCGTCATGGCAGAGTCTCCCAAGTTCCCGGCTCCCTGTTCATCCCCGTTACTGCATCCCAGCCCCAGCGCAACCAGAACCACTCACCGGTCAGGATGGAGAGGGCCAGCAGCAGCAGGGCCTCCATCTCCTCCAGGGTGAACACTGACGTGGGGCCTACAAGAAAAGGGAACCGGATTTGGGCCCGGGAAAGGTTCCTATGAAAACGTTTTCAGCACAAAGGGTGTCCCAGAAATGCTACGAGTTCCATAGCGAGGCTGGGCTGGGGGCTAAGGCAGGAGATCTTGGATCTAGTCACAGCTGGAGCCCAATGTAGGAGTCTCATATTCATTCTATTGATTACTTCAGAATTCCCGGTGAGGTTTGACAGGTTCGTGTCCGCAGGTCAGGCTCAGGATTATGGAAACTGGGGTTCAGCTGGGAGCCCCGATGGGCACAGCTGTGACACTCGCACTTAAGGAATTATTCGCACATTTAGCAAAGTCACAAAGGCTCCAGCCCAGCGAGGTAGATAGAGAGACGGCAGCGTGTCCCTCCGAACCGTCCCGTGCAGAACAATCCAGACTGTCAGCCAGTATCTTCCTCCTCACCATCACCTTCCTCGTCGTCACCCCAGTCGTCACCCCGGCACCTTCCAAGGGCTACATTGCGCTCTCCTCCTGCCCGCAGGCTGGGATGTGACTTGTACATGATGTTATGCTGACATCACCCTGCCTAATGCCTGTTCTGTAGGGGTGTCTCCCCTCTTCCTTATGTGTATCTTCTCCCACTACCAGTGCTGGGGGCCCTTCTCCCATAGGTCATGGCTCTCTGGTGGTCAGACAGCAGCCGATGGTCCCATGCTAAACTATCCGCAAGATGGTGTTAGTTCCTGTTCCTGGTGTCGTTGTGGACAAAGCTCCCCCTTAAACGCCCTGTTCCCATGTCCCCAAAACTTAGGGGTCATGGTTGGGCCATTTATCTGTGCCAAAGTTCATAGGCCCCAAGCCTTATGCTAACTGCTGACGCCAGCGTCTCACAGGAGACAGGCCTGTGGGTTGCTTGCATTACTGCCCCATCAAATAAATGCTAAAGCTAGTTCTATGGGCTACACAACACTGCCACAGGGCCCCATGTGACCACGAGCAAGCCACTCCGCTCCATGCCTCAGTTTCCCCAACCTGTACAAGGTGGATACAAATCCTACTTTTGTTTCTTTAGCCTTCAAACGTTTTTGTGGCAAGGACTGTCTCTGGCTGTGCGTGGGCAGCGCTTGGCACGAAGGGGCCCTGATCTCAGCTGGGGCAGGGCCTGTCTCTTGCTGTGTGTCTGGGCAGTGCCTGGCATGAAGGGGCCCTGATCTCAGCTGGGGCAGGGCCTGTCTCTTGCTGTGTGTCTGGGCAGCGCCTGGCACGAAGGGGCCCTGATCTCAGCTGGGGCAGGGCCTGTCTCTTGCTGTGTGTCTGGGCAGTGCCTGGTCACGAGGG